CTTTTACCTCAGTGTGATACGACGATGTATTTACTGCTATAAAAAACCTGAAAACTTACATTGGGGGTGGCTCTCCTCTCCGCAGATCTGACTAACTCAGCCCAGAGAAGTCACTCACTCGTGTGGATAGAAAACTGAATGCTGTATGTGCAACACAACTAAACTTTCATTGTTCATTTCATTGTTCATTGTTTGGATTCATTGTTTTCTGAGGGTAAAGTTCAGTCAAAGTTTGTGTTTTGTAGCTGTGGTCAATATTATGTTCATGTTTATGCAGGTATTTTGATCAAAGGAATACATTCATTTATAATATAGTTTATTAAATATAGTTTTCAAACTTGGCAGTGAAAACCTCATTGAGACAGAGACAGAGACAGAGAGAGAGAGAGAGAGAGAGAGAGACAGAGACCAGAGAGAGAGAGACAGAGACAGAGAGAGAGAGACAGAGACAGAGAGAGAGAGACAGAGACAGAGCGAGAGAGACCAGAGGGACCGAAGAGAGACAGAGACAGAGAGAGAGAGACAGACAGAGACAGAGACAGAGACAGAGAGAGAGAGACAGAGACAGAGACAGAGACAGAGACAGAGACAGAGAGACAGAGAGAGAGAGAGAGAGAGAGACAGAGAGAGAGAGACAGAGACAGAGACAGAGACAGAGAGAGAGAGAGAGAGACAGAGACAGAGACAGAGACAGAGAGAGAGAGAGAGAGAGACAGAGAGAGAGAGAGAGAGAGAGAGAGAGAGACAGAGACAGAGAGAGAGAGACAGAGACAGAGACAGAGACAGAGAGAGAGAGAGAGAGAGAGAGAGAGAGAGAGAGAGACAGAGACAGAGAGAGAGAGACAGAGACAGAGACAGAGACAGAGAGAGAGAGACAGAGACAGAGACAGAGACAGAGACAGAGAGAGACTGAGTCTTGTTTCGATCACTAGTTTTCACATCCCTGTATGTCTGACCCCAGTCACAACCTTGGATCAGCTTTTTTAGACAGAAAAGTGAAAGAAGTTGAAAGTAAAGCGAGAAAGAGAAAGAAAAGAGAGACTCAGAAAGAAAAGAGAGAAAGAGAAAGTAAAAGAGACCTGAGAACAGAGCAGCATCACGAGCTCCACCACCGACGTGCTGGACTTCATACACACCAAACCTGAAATACACACAACACAACACCATTACAACAGCTTTCCATCAGGTCGCACTGTCAAAAACTAACTGTACAACTATTTATCAAACAAATATTATGCAGGATTGAATGTAAATCCATTAAACATGATTTGGATTGTCATGATTTAGGATGTTTTATGTTTTTGCATTTTTCCGTTCTTCAAAATGTCCCTTGATTTGGTTTGGATTCTCTAATATCATCTCCTCTATCCTTGCTTTTGTTTTTGCTTTTTACAGTATAAAGAGTTCAATAGTTATAGAACGCAGCAGAAAGGAGACTCTTTTCATTCAAGATAGGCTAATGACCTGCACCATATGAGGCCTCCACTGGTGCCTGTATGGTCTGGTACCAGGAGTAAGAATGAGGTTTTAGGGGCCTTCGAGCCGGGTCTGGTCATGACACACTTTTGTCCAATCAAAACAAGACGTTGCAAAACCAAGGCAGCAACATTTTCAAAGATGGAAACTTTCCGTGGAAATTAATGGGAATAAACAGGAATAAACTGGGAATTTCTAAAGCACTAGACCTCTGAAGGCACACATTTGTTTTAATGATATTATGTGGGAAATATGTTTATTGAATGTTTAAATTGTAGGCGACAGTAGCTCAGTTGGTAGAGCCATTGGCCTTTGAGCCTGAAGGTCGTGGGTTCAAGTCCATCACAAGACTTTCTCCACCGACTCCCACTGATGTCTGCTGTCGTTGTGTCCTTGGGCAAGACACTTATCCCATAGGAACAGCAGGTGCCACAGTGCGGCGGCTGCGGCTATAACTGTGGTTGTGTCTTTAGGCAAGACACTTCACCCCCATTGCCTAGAATGAGTCGGAAGTGTGTGTGAATGGTTGGTGGTGGTGGGAGGGGCCGATGGCCCAGACTGGTTGCCTCACTTCTGTCAGTGTGCCCCAGGGCAGCTGTGGCTACAGTAGTGGAGTGAAAGAATTATGACATGTGAAGCATCTTTGAGTGTCCAAAAAAGCGCACATTCAAAACTGATGCATCATTATATTACTTTAGATAGCAAGCTAATAAGTTAGATGCTAGACATGCTAGTATGTTTGATGTGGGATGTTTTGGAGGGAGAAACACATAATTTTTATTGAATATTTCCCATAATTACCCAGATTAACCAAAAACTTTCTGGAAATTTCCGCTCCTTTGCAACTCTAAACAAGACAGAAATGGGAGGACTCCAGAGGAAGACACGGCTCTGTCTCTGCTTCAGATCCTGGCGTCGGGTAAATAAGCTGCAGGACTTTAGTTTGGATTTATTCCAGGGAACAATGGATTAAAAACGGACACAAGATTTTGCATAATATTTTTTCTATAAGTAAAAAATAACGTTTTTTTTTCCCAGTAGATTTATATTATCAAAAACATATTATAGTCTTGTATATGAAAAAAGCATGCTACAAAAAGGACAATAACGGACGAGTGAGGGAGAGAGGGAGGGAGAGGGGGGAGAGAGGGGAGTACAGAGGGGGAGAGGGGGAAGGCAGAAAGGGAGTGAGGAAGAGAGAAAGAAGGAGGGGGGTGGGAGTGAGGGAGGGAGAGAGGAAAGGGGAAGAGAGGGCTGAGGGAGAGAGGGAAGCGGGGAGTGAGGGAGCGAGGAAGAGAAGGATTGACGGAGAGAGGAAATGAGGGAGTGAGGGAGGGATGGAGAAGGAGAGGGAAAGAGGGAGTAAGGGGGAGAGATGGACTAGGGGAGAGAGGGAGAGGGAATGAGAGAGAGAGGAGAGGGAGAGAGGGACTGGGGGAGAGAGGGGGAGTTTAAACATGAAGACAGTGGAGGACGAGAACAGACGTCAGCAGGTGACAGGAAGTGCTCTTCTCTAAAAGAATTTACAATGATTTAAACTGTGTCAAAGTGAGACATTGTACCTGGTCGACGAATGAGTGAAGCAGCTCAGTCATTCATAGAGTAGACACACACACACAATCTCTCTATCACACACACACACACACTCATTCTCTCTCACACACACACACCCCAGTCTATCTCGCTCACTCACACATTCTCTCACACACACACACACACACACAATCTCTCTCACACGCACACACTCATTCTCTCTCACACACACACACCCCAGACTCTCTCGCTCACTCACACATACTCTCTCTCACACACACACACACACACTCTCTCGCTCACACACACACACACACACACACACACACACACACACACACACACAGGCCACGGTGAGGCCCCTGGCAGTCGCCGCGGTGACGGACAGTGATGGGAGACTCCACAGAGAGACGCCAGTTAGAGAATAAGGAGCCGTGTACAGCACCTGTACCTTCTATGAGCAGCTCCTGCCCATGACTCCCCAACAACGTCCGCGACAAGAACGGCGCGAAATCCACAAAAATCTCACGCAACAACGGCGCCACCTTCTCCAGCGCTCGTTCCAGCTTCGTCGTGATACTGCGTGAGGCGGAGAGAGAGAGAGAGAGACCGGGCATAAAAACACACACACACACACAGTTAGCACTTTGAAGACTGATTAAAACACTAGCTTTTTAAAATGAGGTTTGAAAAATAATTTGTGGAAAGGGAAGAGGGACGGTGAGGAGGGGGGAGGAGGAACTCAGGGGAGAGACTCATGGCAAGGAGAGAAACATGCGAGAGGAAAAAAAGCCGGGGCAAATTAAACAGAGGGAGAGACTAAACGATCACATAATCAAAGAAGCGTGAAATGATGATTGAGTGTGGAGGAAGCACGGGGGAAAGCTGCGGGTTGGAGAAGCTGCAAGTATTTGGATTGAGACACGTTACTGTTGCTATGGCGCTGGATAAGTGTGTGTGAGGTGAGAGAATAAACGTAGAGTAACATAAAGACGGAGAGCAAACGGAAAAGTCTTGGTTAGTCTCTTGTGTAAGGATTAATAATATTGTCCCATGTAACAGAAAATAGCTTACACCGAAAAAAATTATGAAACATGAGGTAATATTTGCTTGATTTTGGTTTTTATCTGGAGCTGAGTGCATTCTGACTGTGTTAAAACAAGATTCTCCAATGGGACCAAGCCATTTTTTTTTTTCAAGAACTGTTGCTTTATTTTATCATTCCAATTAAGACATTTCTTGTATCTTTTTAAAACAAGATCATTTTGCTTTGTCCCGTTGGAAAATCTTGTTTTAAAGCAGTCAAATATGCTAAAATTAAGATACATTTGGCCAAATTTTAACTATTTTTGACGTCTTGCATGTGTCGGTGTGTGTGTGTGTGTGTGTGTGTGTGTGTGTGTGTGTGTGTGTGTGTGTGTGTGTGTGTGGGTGGAGGGTAGAGGGTGGGGTTGTGGGTACAGGGGGTGGGGTTTTTCTCCTTGCCTAAAACACTGCCCTGCATCTCGGGGCGCAGCCTGCAGCAGTGTCACAGAGCTAAAAGACTCAGGGGACGTCTGCAGCACTTCACAATAGGCACTGCAATACAAACCACAATACAGCCATATATAGACACACACACACACACCGTTACAGCCAGCTATGACATCACTCAGGAAGAATATGCTAATGCGCTAATGCTATGGAGGCTAGGAAGACTTTGGAGGTACCTCGAAACCAGAGTTGGGCAAGTTACTCTCACATTATAATGCATTACAACCTGTGATTAAAGGGGATTTAAGGCAACTTGAATTGTATTTTGTGGTTAAGGAACATGTATTTTTTAGAGGTGGGAATTGTCAAAAATGTGACGATTCAATAGTTTAAATATTATAAATTCAATAGCAATATTTGGGCCACAAGTCAATATTATTGCGATTCTTAACATATCGAGATACAGCAAGTATTGCGATTTCATTCTGTGATGTATCGCGATTCCTGTCCCTCATATTATTCAAAGACATTACCAAAAATTAGGAAAATAAGACTCAACTCAAAGGTAAAATGTATGGTCTGCTTTAAAAAAAAAACAAAAAAAAAAACTGAAGTGCAAACACCGAGGAGGGAGGTGAAAAAACTGTATCCTTGAACATACAGGACACAGGACAAGACATGACTAACATTATTCAAATACAAAAGACTAGAGTCACAAAACGCAGACGTATTAGATGTGAATTACCAAAGTAAACTCAGAGAAAACACTAGAGTGAAACTTATAATGATTTTAATAAATATCACAATACTTTACTGTATCGATTTAATGTCCTGCTGAACAGAATCAAATTTTTTCCACCATTAATATTTTTGAGTGGGGTCCGTGTTACAAAGCATCCTGGGATATTGAGTTTTTACAATCAGGAAGTAGATTTCTGTATTAGCCTTGTACCTTCTGCCTTTTCTTAAATATTATGTCTTTGGCTTGGATTTAAACAAAACATTTTATGATCACAGATGACTATGTGGCTAGTTAGCATTTGTGGTGTCTTCTAACTATTTTAGATTTTTTTTAATTCATAGTATAGAGTAAAACACATTCATTTTGGCTTCTGGCCCCTCGGCAACTGGACCAAAAGAGACAAATATACAATTCTGCTGGGAATGTAAACTTCTGAGTACTCTTTGTAATGCATTATAAGTTACTGCAACTATACAGTAATGCAAAAAGCCCAAACACTACCTAAAGCTAAAGATTTTATTCACATACTAAACATTGATTTGTAAATATAGACTTAGACTTATTTCTTAATGGACTAGCAAGATTTAGTAAGAAACAGCAATCTCTGCATAGAATGTGAAAATGATTCTCCTCAAACTACAAATATTGGTACAAACCTGACTTGGTAATTTAGCTCTGCACAGTAATAATAGTGGTCTGTCAATCACTTTTTTATGTATTTAAACTAATCATAATCACAAGTAAGATGTGGAATGAAGTGGAAAGGGGCTGAATTTCAAGAAACAAAGAAACAAAGAAACACAAAATGAGGGGATCGTAAAGAAAAGGGGAGAATCGTGACGGTTGGAGCAGGTTTTGGGGCCGGCTGCTCTGACCTCATGTTCTCCATCGTGTCCTCGGGCATCGGCGCCACCGTCTGCACCGCGGGGAGGTTTTTACTGGTCGCACCGTTCACGAAGGAGGAAGAGGAGGAGGAGGAGGAGGAGGCGGAGTCTGTGGCACCTGAGGAGAGAGAGGAAAGCGAAGGATTGATGATAGATTCGCTGTGTTTTTGCCTTTTTCAGTAAAATAACATTGGAATAAGTGTGCTGAAGTGTGCACCGGTGTACAAATAAAACTGAAGCTAAAAAGTACAAGACACAATTTTTGCTGTAAAATCAATCAACAAATTATCATATAGGGTAGTAATAAACAATCCTAAATTTATTTTGGAGAGAGACCTTCACAGGCAATGCATTCTGGGATGTTGTAGATTTGCAACATTGGCCCACTGTGGTGAATAGAGCTGATCCGGGGGAAAACTCAGAAGAAATATAATCTACTAATTGTACTGTATCTATATACATTTTTGTGGTACTTCTGAGTAAAAAAGGGTAAAAAATATGAATGTGGAGTAATTAGGTAATAAGAAAGGAGTGAGTTTGAGACTCTGATCTGGAGTGAAAAGGCGGTATATAAATAAAGATTACTACTACTACTGGTCTTTGACTTCAGTCGTAACAGTTCTCACACTCCTGTTGCTATCGACAACTCCCAAGTACAGATTGTAGAGGAGTGCACGTTTCTCGGTTTAACTCTGTCTAACGACCTGAAATGGGACTGACCGGGTCGTTAAGAAAGCTTGTCAGCGTCTCTACTTTCTGAGGAAACTTAGAGAATTTACCACTAACTCTAAGATTCTGCTTAAATTTTAGCGCTGCACCATTGAGAGTTTGCTTGTTGGCTCTGTGTCTGTGTGGTTTGGAAACATCACAGACAAAGAAAAGAGAGCTCTAAACAAGGAGCTCCGCTCTGCAAAGAGGACCGTGGGCTGTGAGTTTCCTGTTCTGGAGGTTCTTTATAAATCCAGACTTTTAAACCGAGCTCTTAGAATGATTAATGACTCTTCTGGCCACCCTGGAAAAGCCTTGTTCCAGCTTCTTCCTTCTGGCAGAAGATATTGTTCTCTGAGATGCAGGACATCTCGACATGCTAACAGCTTCTTCCCACAAGCTGTCATAAGTTTGAACAGAGCACTTTAATGATCTTGCACTTTGTATTGAAATTGTTTTAGCCGATCGTTTTCACAGTGACAAATTTTACTGTTTTATTTGTTTTTGTTTTTTTCTGTACTTTCAATGTTGTTTTATGTCTGTACTTGTGCACACTGGGGACTTTTGCTAATGAATTCCAATGCGGTTTTACTGCAAATGGCAAATAAATGAATCTGAATCTGAATCTGTACCATCAGCCCCTCCCACCACCACCAACCATTCACACAAACACACACCAGACTTATTCTAATGTGGGTGAAGTGTCTTGCCTAAAGACACAACCGCAGTTTGGCACTTATAATTATATAAGCATATATATTATTATTATATATTTTATTTTTGCTGCTACTGGACACCTGAATTTCTCCTACAGGGATCAACAAAGTATCTATCGATCTGTCTCTCTGTAGTACCTGGTGTTCCCAGAGGTCTCCCATCACAGTACTAACCAGGCCCTGCCCTGCTTAGCTTAAGAGGTTTAACAGGATCTGGCTTTCACCCGCAGGAAGCCAGACAAACTCAAAAACCATATGATTTTTGCAGAACTCGTGTTGTTTAAAACAGCAGCTGACATTAGTATTCTCTCACAGTTCCCACAAAAAGACAAAATGCCATGTTCTTGTGGCAAAGGTTTTAATAAAATCAATGATCCTAAATGCCACTGCTCTCTCTCTTGCAGCCATTTCCTGAGCAATAATTAAAGCAAAAAGGCTTTAGCCTCTGTTTCTTTCAATCTTTTCTGTTTCAAAGTCAGAACCCGCCGATAGGTCGGTCCTTCTCGATAGTGTGTGGGTCCAGTCCCATCTCCTCAGCTGGAGACGACCAGAGAGAGAGACCAGAGGAAGAGACCAGAGAGAGACCAGTGAAAAACAAGAGAGAGACCAGAGAGAGACCAGAGAGACAAGAAACACACGAGAGACCAGAGAGGCCAGAAAGACCAGAGAGAGACTAGAGAGAGACCAGCGAGAGACCAGAGAGAGACCAGAGAGAGCAGAGAGGGACACCAGAGAGAGACTAGAGACAGAGAGAACAAAGGAAGAGCAGAGAGAGACACCAAAGAGACAGCAGAAAGAGAGACCAGAGAGAGACCAGAGAGAGAGACCGTTTCCTCTCGATAGCGTATGGGTCCAGTCCAATCTCCTCAGCTGGAGACAACCCGTTTGGGAGCTTCAGTGCGGGACATGCATAATTCAAGAGGGAGGGTTCTGTTTCCCCCAGTGAATCTGTGTGTATTGATTGCAAAAGCTATTTTCACAAACCAAGGCCATTACCAGACACAAGCGGCGGCGAGTCCGAGCCAAAAACACCGTCCAAATTCAATCTCATCGCAACATTAGTGAGTATCTGTTTCTATTACAGCGGACACTGGTCTGGGTAATGTGAGGAGAGGCAGAGGTCACTGCTGGGAGGCTGGAGAGAGACCAGAGAGAGACTAGAGAGAGACCAGAGAGAGACCAGAGAGAGACCAGAGAGAGACTAGAGAGAGAACAGAGAGACTAGAGAGAGACTAGAGAGAGAGACCAGAGGGAGACCAGAGAGAGACCAGAGAGAGAGACTAGAGAGAGACTAGAGAGAGACCAGAGAGAGACCAGAGAGAGACCAGAGAGAGACTAGAGAGAGACCAGAGAGAGGCCAGAGAGACTAGAGAGAGAACAGAGAGAGACTAGAGAGAGACTAGAGAGAGAGAGACCAGAGGGAGACCAGAGAGAGACCAGAGAGAGACTAGAGAGAGACCAGAGAGAGACCAGAGAGAGACTAGAGAGAGACCAGAGAGAGGCCAGAGAGACTAGAGAGAGAACAGAGAGAGACTAGAGAGAGACTAGAGAGAGAGAGACCAGAGGGAGACCAGAGAGAGACCAGAGAGAGAGACTAGAGAGAGACTAGAGAGAGACCAGAGAGCGAAGTAGCGAGACCAGAAACAGAGGCCGGTGAGAGGCCGGTGAGAGGCCGAAGAGAGAACACAGAGAGACCAGAGAGAGACTAGAGAGAGAGACCAGAGAGAGAGACCAGAGAGAGAGATTAGTAGAGAGACCAGAGAGAGACTAGAGCGTGACGAGAGAGAAAGACCAGCGACAGAGAGACCAGAGAGAGACTAGAGAGAGAGACCAGCGACAGAGAGACCAGAGAGATACTAGAGAGAGAGACCAGAGAGAGCCTAGAGAGAATCACTATGGATGGTACGGTGGCTGAGTGGATAGCACTCTCGCTTCTCAACAAGAAGGTCCTGGGTCCGAATCCCAGGTGGAACAGGGCCTTTCTGAGAGGAGTTTGCATGTTCTCCCCGAGTCTGCTGTGTGGAGTGAGAGACAAATGCCCCCCAAAAAACCGCCGTAAACCGCTTTGTGTGTGTGAAAGGCGCTATATAAATAAAAATGACTTACCCCAGCTTTAAAGCCACAGACCCAGCTTTAAAGTTACATACCCCAGCTTTAAACAACCCACAGAGAGGAGACCCAGATCTTACCGGTTGTGTTGATCATGCTTTTTGGCGTTGCTGTAGCAGCAGCAAAGATGTTGGGGGTGGTGGCGGGCGTGGCTGCTCCGCTGGTGGGGGTCCCGACTGTGTTCACTGAGAGGCTGCCGGGAGGGGGCTTCTTCACCGGGACCACCACACTCCTGCAAAACAACAACACAACAGATATTTGTGACTCAAAATAACACGCAGCAAGTGACATTCTTGAAGTAGCAGCTGTATGTTTAACTTCTCACACTTTATACTCTTTCATTACCACCTGAACTCACGGCTGCTGAAGTGAGAGAGACCAGAAAGAGAGACCAGAGAGAGACCAGGGAGAGAGACCAGAGAGAGACCAGAGAGAAACCAGAGAGAGACCAGAGAGGGAGAGACCAGAGAGACTGGAAAGAGACCAGAGGGAGACTAGAGAGAGACCAGAGAGAGACTGGAAAGAGACCAGAGGGAGACTAGAGAGAGACCAGAGGGAGACTGGAGAGAGACCAGAGGGAGACTAGAGAGAGACCAGAGGGAGACTAGAGAGAGACCAGAGAGAGACCAGAGAGAGACCAGAGAGAGACCAGAGAGAGACTAGAGAGACTGGAGAGAGACCAGAGGGAGACTAGAGAGAGACCAGAGAGAGAACAGAGAGAGACCAGAGGGAGACTAGAAAGAGACCAGAAAGAGACAATAGAGAGAGACCAGAAAGAGAGACACCAGAGAGAGACCAGAGAGACCGGAGGGAAAGACCAGAGAGAGAGACCAGAGAGAGAGACCAGAAAGAGACACCAGAGAGAGAGACCAGAGAGATCGACCAGAGAGAGAAAGAGCAGAGAGAGACCAGCCAGAGAGACCAGACAGAGACCAGACAGAAACCAGAGAGAGACCAGACAGAAACCAGAGAGAGAGACTAGAGAGACCAGAGAGATCGACCAGAGAGAGAGAGAGAGCAGAGAGGGACCAGAGAGAGAGACCAGCCAGAGAGACCAAACAGAGACCAGACAGAAACCAGAGACAGACCAGAAAGAGACCAGAGAGAGAGACCAAACCTCAATGTGGCTAACTCTGCTAATGTGGCTAACCAAGGGCCTAACACTTCTATCCCTAACATAACTATGTAAAGCATTGAACATAAAATCTGCATGTCGAGTCACCTTTTCTCCAAAAACAATCACAATCCTGCAATAATACCAGTTGTCTTTCCCCATTGTCTCTGTGTGTGTAAAGTTTGAAGCAAAAGTTAGATTGTGGAGTCACAGAGGTCCCAGTCCCTCCCAAAAATCAGCAAGGGACATTTCCAAACCCCTAATCAAACCTCTGCAGCCCAATCTGATTATAATGACAGAGAGCGGAGGAGAAATAATAGTAAAACTGTTACGTAAAAGCTAAAAGGTGAGGAGACTGGGGACTCAACTTTTAACAATGGTTCTGTGTTAGCGCAGTCAGCAGTAAGTAGCATCTCATCCAACAGAACAATCATTTATTTCTGTTTCCATTATTTCCATTCAAAAGTCTCGTACAAAAATATGGTGAAACTGCTTTGACCTCGGAGCAGAAAGTGGAACAATACTGTGGGAGTGGGACAAGTGGGAATCTAGATGAAAATTGCACTAGAATTAGACACGCTTTTGTGCTAGTTTTAGAGAAATACTTTGATATATAATTACTTTGATAACAAAGCAAATGCAAAAGTTGGATATTTTAGATTTGCTATGGCTGTTACGCTACAGCTAGAGATTTTACACTTGCTTCTTTATTATTCTAACGCTAGAGATTTTATACTTATTTCTTTTTCTTTTCATCTTAATCTTAATAACCTGTTTGTACCATGAGCCAAAGCAAATTCCTGTTACTTGCAATGGAAATATAAATATTGCTGATTCTGAAATGCCCTGAAGTTATGTTAGTGAGATTTTTTAGGGACAGAGTAATACAAAACAGAAAATGGACATAAATTGGTGTTTTAACTAATACAAGTAAATGTACAAGTTTGTATGATTCTAAATGTCTCACAATAGATTGAAAAATGTATTGTATCATGTGTTGATGTTGCCTTCTCTCTGTTCTAGACCTTCTGCTGAGAGCACAGAAAAAGCAGCGACCAGGAAGTGGATGTGACCTTCTGGCAGGTACAGTGTGTGTTAGTGCAGGGTTCTGTGGACGCTTTCATACTTTACTGTCAGAGAGATCAAAGAACAAACACCACTGTCCCAATCAGAATGCACTAATGCACACGCCATCGATCGCAACATAGATTTTCAAGGATGAGACGTGAATTCTTGATGGTGAGATTATGTTTTGTCAGAGGCTCGATCTGTGGTCTTCAAACTATAATTACAAGTAGCTCCTGAAGGGTTTCAATATTTCATAAAATCTCCTCAATATTTCATATGGTTTCCAATGCCCAATGTTATTGCTAACTTTGCTAACAGGTGCAAATGAAGCTTATAAGGGGCTAACTCTACCTAACTGCTAATATGCCTTACTGGGGGCTATCTCTAACCGGATTCGTCCGGAAATTCAGTTTGCGCATGTCAAAAAGTGTAGATAAACATGTAAACAGTCTGTATTGTTATATACAGATTATATTATTGATTTGTGCTCACATGTATCAAGGTTTATTATGAGAAATGATAAAGAGCTCAGAGAAAAAAATATTTTTTGTAGCCGTGCAGATAATGCCCAGATGCGTTCAAATGCACACAGAAATGTGAGAAATACATAGACAGTTTGATTCTTGATTAGATTCACTGTCCTTTACTTGTTTAACTAATAAATAAATTTGTTCAACAAGACTTGACTATGTATGTATGTATGAATGTACGAGACAGTGAATCTAATCAAGAATTAAACTGTCTGTGTTTGCCTCATTTCCGTGTGCCTTTGAACGCATCTGGGCGCTAGCTGCGCGGCCACTGAAAGTATTTTTATTCTCTGAGCTATTTTTCCACCATTCTCGTAATAAACCTTGATACATATGAGCACAAATCAAAATATTATCTGTATATAACAAGACAAACTGTTTACATGTTTATTTACACTTTTTTTTTTTTATAATTAAATTTTTATTAAGAAGAACACAAGATCGGTCAGACAAATTAAAGAATGAACAAAAATGAGGCTCTCCCTTTTTCCTTTTTAAACCCCCTCTCTTCCCTCTCCCCCCCCCCCCCCCCCCCCCCCCCCCCCGCCCACCCCCCGCCACCAACAGAGTATTCCACGTACAGTGATGCTATTACATTACAAAGCGTCAAATTACATTACAAAGCGTCAAATTACATTACAAAGCGTCAAAAGAGTACTTTAAGATTTTCAATTAGTTGTGACCACAAGTCAGTTGTATTGGATGACATATTGTTGATCCTCCCCGAAGAAATTTCCATATAAGCAATGTCCATATAACAATGAAGCCAGTGAGTGAATGAAACATCGTTACTTTTCCACCTTTGCGCAATGATCTTCTTGGCTGCTGTGAGGCCTGCGAGCCAGATTTTGCACTGTCTTCCCGTGAGCCTTATACTTGAGTTATCGTTCAAAAGATGTATAGCGGGTTCCATTGGTAGGGCAACCTTCGTTAGTGTACTGATGCAGCTAACTACTTTACCCCAGAGCTCCTGAACTGCTGGGCATACCCATACAACGTGCATGAAGGAGCCTATGGTCCCTGGGGGACAAAATGAACAATAAGGATCAGGTGCCGCCCCCATTCTATGTCTCATAACAGGGGTTAGGTATGCCCTATGGCAATATTTCAAATGTATATAGCAGTGATTAGAATTCTTTGAGGCTTTCCCAATATTATGCCAAATTCTCTCCCAGTCAAGAATACAAGTATCATTCGAAATGTCCTGTTCCCAAGCCTTCATTCCCATTGAGGGCACCATATTTTGATTTGATAATTGATTGTAAATATTAGGGCTGTCCAAAATAGCGCGTTATTAACGCGTTAACGCAAATCAATATTAACGCCGTCATTTTTTTTATCGCGCGATAAAAAAAAAAAAATTATTGCAGACAAACACATAGAAACAAAGAAAAGGACTAGTTCAGATACATTGTAGACAGAGATTACAAACAATATGTAGTTGGAGATACAGGGGGCCAAAGAAGAAACCCAGAAGGGCACATAGGAGGGGGGGGGGGGGGGGGACATGAAGTGGGAGATGGGGGGAGGGGTTAATAAAAAAGGCAATACAAGCAAACAGTATACAGTCATAGATATACCGAAGGTAAACAGAGAAACAGCATAGAGTATTTACATGAACAAATTTACAAAATATTTACAGATTGTTTATCATCATCATAATGACACCATGATGTTTCTATACAGTCTATGGTCTATACCCACACATACACACACACACCCACACACACACATTGAAGGGGCTTTTTGTTACCAATTATTTATTTTGTCATCCATTTATTGATGATTTTGCATCAAATGTTAGTGTGTAATATAACACTACACATTGTTTTCAATAAAAAAAGCAATTGCACACAGCACGCAAATGTGTGACTAATTTGCGATTAATCGCGAGTTAACTATGAAATTCATGCGATTAATCGCGATTAAATATTTTAATCGTTGGACAGCACTAGTAAATATATGACACTATCCTTTTTGGAGCTTTCTGTAAGAGTTCAGTAACAGGGTGATCGCTTAGTTCCGATCCCCAGGGAATTCCATAGGCTTTACATGCTGATCTTATTCTGAAATAGAAAAATAAAGTGTGTTTATCAATGTTGTATTTTGATACCAACTCTTGAAAACTAAGGATAGATTCTCCCCCACTAATGTCTTGCAGTACTCTAATACCCTTGTTATTCCACTCCTTATTTGTAAATGGCCTCCCCCCTGAGAGGAGGTTTGTGTTGAACCACAAAGGCGATAATTTATGCCACTTTTGTTTGTGCTTTAGATATCTTTCCACTGCTCTAAATACAACCAACATATATGATAAAATTGGGCCGTACCGCAAATTACATTTCTTAATTGATAATCCCAGAAAAAGAAAGTCTCTCAGCTGCAGTGGCTCAATAAGATTACCTTCAATGGACTTCCATGCTGATTCTTTGTTATCATTTAACCAATAGGACAAACTCCTCAGCACAAAAGCCCAGTGATAAAGTTTAAAATTGGGACATGCACATCCACCAATTGATC